TAAATGAGTCAATTCTCAATATTTCCAATGCAGCAGGAGTTTTCAGAAGCCAGCTCCTTTCTATATTTCTCTGCAGCTGATTTTGGCAATATGGATAATGAGAATGACACAAAGTGGATCCCCAGTTTCTGTTTTTCTCCATGTTACACCAGTGGGGTCTCTGTCTCCCATAGCCCCATATTAAAAGTACTGTGGCCACTTTTAGAATGCTTGATAGATTAAAATATACAATGATTTTCAGAGACAAGCATTTTAATGGTCATGCTTTAAACCCCAGTTTTGTTAATAGATGAAGCGTGGGCTTACAGCTTCCACTCAAAATCAGGAAAGAATAAGTGTATCTGTCCTCTCAACAGAGGCAGGCAAGTTGTTCCCTATGCAATAGGTCACTAGACACTAAACATTTCTGAAGTAAGAAACATTTGACTCAGTGAGTTGGTCGCTATTTCTATGAATTGATGGACTTTACCTATTACTGATTATGTGTTCAGTTCACAATTTTCATCTTCCTTACAAGCAAAAATACATGAAAACATACAAGAAATGTAAAACTATATCAATGGCAGGTTCTCCATTTTATTCCCAATAAGTGGAATCTTGAAAATGATCAAGGGTTGGAAAAGAAAATATATCTAATTTTTATTTAGGCATTCATTAAAACCCAAAAGCAGTAACAGACTGATACTTATAAACATGCATTCATTTTACACATATTTATATTTAGACAAAAAAAGTCCAATAATTACAATTCAAAGTACACAGCTTTTATCGTCAGTGCATAAATCCCAAAACATTAGCATGAAAATATTGTTCTTCAGAGCTATTAAGCACCAATAGTGAGAGAGTCTACAGACCTTGAACATTCTTCAATATGAAAAAATACATTATATTCACTCACCAAACAGGATATCATTGTTCCACGCACATTCTGAATATTTACAATGATTTATATAACTTCTCTATGACAAACATGAGGGAGTATTGCAATAATGTTGGATGTTCTGGAGGATAGATAGGAAGATACTACGTGGAGGGTTTTAGGGAAGATGGTTTGAAAGGCAACATATATAAGAAATGCAAAAACCACCAGTAATTTCTGTCATTCACGTACTTACAGTACTTGCCAACCATCACGAAACTAAGCCATTTTGTGAACTTTAACCAATACTTTGCCTAACAATTCAATAGAAACTACAAATATCACCAAGGTACAATGTGCCACATGCATAAGCGATGTCAGTAGTTCCTACTGATATACCAAAATGCTGGATCAGCTCCCATAATGTCTGCATTTACTGAGGCTGGCAACAGGTTCACATTAAAGTAAGGTCATGAATAAATAAAATCTCCACAGTTACATGACCAAACAAAATAAGGATATGACAATGATATTCTCAGATTGCTCAGCATCACTGACAAATTTAGCAGCTAAGTTTTTCCAGTTTCAGGTCCCAAAACATTACCCAAAGGAAAAATAGTTTGTCCATACAAATTATTTGCAGCCATTAGTGTGGAGTTAAAAATAAGTTGTGTTTGCTTTCATTTTCAGAAAAGGTGCAGTAATATGGTACCATTACAGAAAGGTATCTTGTGATGACAAAAAGTACCTACAAGTTTATTAGGCTGATGAAGTTCAAATCATGTAGGACAAATATGAAGCTGATATTGCCTTGGATGTTGCCAAAGGAAAATAAAATACATGTTCAAAAACAGCTGTGAAAACGTACAGGATAGGTGCACTTTAAGCAAGCAGTCTATGAAGATATATGAGGGTCTTTAGTTCCATGATTTACTCGTAGCCAGGTAATATTTACAGAGTGCCACCTGTGCTTCTACTCTCTCACCCAAGGTGTGCACTGGCTAGAAAGTACTGTGGGTAAGCTTTATTCTAAAGTGATCCAATCATTAAAAAATACAGGTTTATGCTCAATAGCTCATTCTTTATATAAACAAGAAACTTGCAACTGAAATTTGTTGAAGTGGGATCCCCTCATATACATTATGTTAGGAGTCATTCAAGCGCTATATCAATAATATGTCTTTTAATAAATGAATTCAAGCATTTGATTTAGAAATCTGTAACTGTAACTCTATCTAAGGTCAAGTTATGAAAACTGTACTGACATCTACAATGCTTCAGTGGTAACAGAGCTTAAAATGTTACTAAACCCACAACAGTAAAATCAGTCTGTATATGCAGTAAAGCATGCTTGTTATACTCACTGTGGAACCTAAGGTGTTAATCCTCTGTATTGTGTAAAAAGGCTGTTTCATCTTGGCTCCCCTTCTACTGTCCCCAATCCATCTGCTGATACTACAGAGCTCTAGGAGTCACTCTGCAAATGCTCAGTGCTACAATAATTGCATTTCCATGTTCTGTGTACTGTGGGAGACCAGGCAGAGTGAATGCAGGGGTCCTGGGTTTAGTAACACTTTAAGTGGAAGCACCTTGCTGTGTCTGCAAATACCAGTGTTAGTCTGATTCTTGTATCCCTGTGGAGTCCTCTTGGGCAAAAATTATAAATGGGCTCTCTATGACCCCAACTTGTCACTAAGCCTATCCCCTGTTATTCTGCCCAGTAGGCGGTAGAGGCACTAGTATTTGATAATAACAAATGACAGAAGCAGAGACTTTAGCATCTGGAATTATCACAACTTGCCCAGGCCTAGCATCCAACGGGCTTCCTGGGATCTATTTAAAGACTAACAAAAGGTATTTGAAGTGCAACATGGTATTTCAGTAATACAGTGGCCTATGTAACCTTTTGGGGCAGGTCATGTTCGCTGCGTTTTTTAAGTGAATAAAACAACTAAATTTATTATATATTCCAAGAAACCCCAAACCTATGGGAAATGCACGAACCACAAAAGATATTTAGGCAATGCTGTCTTAATCTACTTCATGGATACAACTGATGGAACCCGTGTACCTTTGGCACATACACCTGTAATTCTTAATAGCAGAGACAAGCAGTATTAGCAGGACTACATGTAATGAATACACAGCTTGGCAGTACTTCTGTCACTACGCAACCCATGTAAATTGTAAATTATCTTTATAACATACTATTCTAAATCTCCAGACCTTTCAGAATTTGAAATAAACAAATCAAAATAAAAACAAGGAACTGCCATGGCTGATGTCTTTGTGAAGGTTCAGACTCCAGAACTGTTGCTCTGATGTTGATTTGACTTCACTATATAATTAATTACTGCACCGCAACAAGCATCTGCACATCAGGTGAATTCTTGCTTCGGGTCAGTAAATCACTAAGCAGCAAAATCTCAAGATCAGGAGGACAGCGTTTCCAAAAGAGGTTGGCAATGACAGCTCCCATATTTCTGCATTGTCAGACTCCCATTAAGCTGGCTTTACATACCAGTTTGTCAAAAAAAAAAAATATCACCACTTGGCCCAACCAACAACGTTTTGTGATTTACCAAGATCCACGGAGTTTTGCCTGTGATGCAAATAATTATGTACCATTCTTTGTCCAATATGGTTTGTGAACTGTACAGAGCACAACAGGAATCTAAGGTAAAAAAAAAAGAAAAGAAAAAAAAAAACACACTAATTTGTGGAAAGGAAATATGTAATATTTTTTTCAATGATGCAGGGCTATTTGGTAAAAAGCAGTGTTTTTGCTACAAAAAGGTATTACAGCATCATAATAAATTATGAATATTGTTAGCATGCTCTTGACCTTGATGTCGGTTTCATTTCTTCATTGTTTTTTTAAAATGATCAGATTAACATCTGTAATATAAAACCCTGCCTTATTCTGTCCCCAAGAAAAGCATGCTTGGACATGCGGCAGTTCACTTAGATCACGTTAGATAAAGAAGCACATTTTCACCAAGCATGTCAGTGTACAGACTAATATTACAATATAGTATTAAATTTACTCTGCAGCACACTGAACAATTTTATGGACAGTCCAGGCACGTTGTGTGAAGACATCACTAGCTTTCTGCTATACATCTGGATATTTAAACAGAATGTGCCCAACTGCTGGAATTCCCTACAGAATTAATTAAGTAAAAGATTTCTTCATTGCTGCAATCTGTTCTGCAACACTGTCATAAAATGAATTCACTATAGAAGAAAACATAAAGGTCTATATATGTAACTGTTGTCCATTTCACTAATGTATCATATGCTGCCAATCATTTATGTCCATACAATGAAATGAGTGAGATTCTCCATCACTAAACAACAAAAGCTGCCTGAAAGAGGCCATGTCGGCTTAACGCTCAGCAGTCATTAAACCCTTAACCCACTGCCAGTGAAAGCATTTAGGTAACTTTGGTAAATGAAAGCCACTCTGTACTGTCCTGCTTGTTGAGCATCTCCAAAAGCAATATAAACCGTGGCTTTGAAAAAGGTCTTTGACATCATGGCCTGGTTCTTGTCATCTACAGTGATCAAAGTAACATGTTTCAGTGTATACAAAGATAGAATGCATATTGTAAAGGAAGGAACATCACACACCAGGCCCTCACAGCTATTGTGAGACAAATGGATGGAAGAAGCATACTGAGAGTTACCATATGGTCAGTCCAGCTGACCTCACGCATCAGCTTGCTTTGTCAGACATAACATCGATAGCCAGGTCAGTTTTGTGCTGATGGGTAAAAACTCCACCAGATTCATGATACAGAGCAGCCTGCATAAAAATGACATTTCTAAACTGTGTGAAAACAATTGAGCCAGGCCTTTACAAATGTATTGTAATCTATTCTGTCATGGTAAACTGATATCCATTCAGATTTGTAGAGGTGGTGTTGACTTCCATAAATATAAATTAATAAACCACTAATGTATTTCAATTTGGATGATATAAATGATCTTCCAGTAAAGAAGAGTAAAGGAGAGAAAAAAAAGTGAACAATATATAAATATAGCTCAAAATACAATGGCAGCTAACACTTTAATACCACATAATTTGAGATTTATTGTTAATGAGGTATTACATAAGCATCTGGCAAAGTCCTTCCTTCTACTGGAAATATCGGAGGCCAGCAACCAGAAAGAATTTTTCCAAAAATACTTCAGAGTCAAGAACTGCAATGTGTGCTGCACGTCCAATGAGAGAATTGGCTGTATTGGGCAAAGCATGAATGACGTCATATCGCACTAGATTACAGTCTTTGTTCTGTAGAACTGGCAGAAGGATATTCTGGATCATCTCAGCATACACCGGCCCTGCAAAACACCATACATTAATTCACTGTAAAATAAAAGGACACTTGCTATATGTACTTTGGTTTCCTTTGCACATCAAAGAAAACCCAACAAAAAGCACTTGTTTATCAACATTGCTTTTATACTTACTGAACTGAAGTTATTATAATTGTTATAATATTATTATTGGTATTATAAAATCTATAAAATACATATACACACACTGCTCAAAAAAATTAAAGGAACCCTTTTTAATCAGAGTATATCATCAAGTTAATTAAACTCCTGGGATATTGATCTGATCAATTAAGTAGCAGAGGGGGTTGTTAATCAGTTTCAGCTGCTTTGGTATTAATCAAATTAAAACAGGTGTACTAGTTGGGCAACAATGAAACAACCCCCAAAACTGGAATTGTTTTTCAGCTGGAGGCCGCCGCTGACATTGTTTTCCACACTCATCTTTTCTGACAGTTTTGACTAGTTTTGCATTTGGCTAGGATCAATGTCACTATTAGTAGTATGAGGCAATACCTGGACCCTACAGAGGTTGCACAGGCAAGTCCAACTCTTCCAGGATGGCACATCAATACGTAGCATTGCCAGAAGGTTTGCTGTGTCTCCCAGCACATTCTCAAGAGCATGGAGGAGATTCCAGGAGACAGGTAGTTACTCTAGAGGAGCTGGACAGGGCTATAAAACCCATCAGCAGGACCGGTATCTGCTCCTTTGTGCAAGGAGGAACAGGGTGAGAACTGCCAGAACCCTGCAAAATGACCTCCAGCAAGTCACTGGTGTGAATGTCTCTGACCAGACAATCAGAAACAGACTTCATGAGGGTGGCCTGAGGTATCGGGATGAAATCCTTGGACCCATTATCAGACCCTACGCTGGTGTAGTAGGTCCTGGGTTCCTTCTGGTGCATGACAATATGTGTGTGTGTGTATGTATTTATATATATATTTTCCACACACATAAATAAATACACACAGTACTGTGCAAAAGTCTTATGCAGGTGTGAAAATGAAGAATGCTTTCAGATATAGGAGTGTTAATAGTTGGCCCTCGAACCCCTCGTGTATTGTTTTGTTACTGTATTGTCTCATGTACTGTCCCCCACTATAATGTACAGCGCTGAGCAAACCTTTTGGCGCTATATAAATACTGTATAATAATAATAATAATTTTTTATCAATTAACAAATGGAAAGTAAATGAACAGAAGAGAACTCCAGATCAAATACTTGATGTGACCACCCTATGCCTTCAAAACAGCATCAATTCTTCAATTCTCCAAGGTACACTTGCACACAGTTTTTGAAGAAACTCAGAAGGTAGGTTGATCCAAACATCTTGCAGAACTAAGCACAGATCTTCTTAGATGTATGCTGCCTCAAATCTTTCTGTCTCTTCATGTAACCCCAGACAGATTCCATGATGTTAAGATCAGGGCTCTGTGGGGGCCAAACATCACTTCCAGGACTCCTTGTTCTGCTTTACACTGAAGATAGTTCTTTATGACATTGACTGTATGTTTGGGGCCGTTGTCCTGCTGCAAAATAAATTTGGGGCCAATTACACACCTCCTTGATGGTATAGCATGATGGATAAGTTAGCTGCCTGTTTTTCACAGCACTGAAAACAACCCCTGTTTGATCACCTGTGGTCCTGATTAAATCTCCAACTCCATTTGCAGAAATGCAGCCCCAAACTTGCAAGGACCCTCCACCATGCTTCACTGTTGCCTGCAGACACTCATTATTGTAAAGCTCTACAGTGCTTCACGAACAAACTACTTCCTGCAACTGCCAAATATTTAAAAGTTTGACTCATAAGTCCAGAGCGCCTGCTGCCATTTTTCTGCACCCCAGTTCTAGGTTTTCATGCATAGGACATGGAACAAGTCAAAGTGACTCAATTATGCACAAAAAAACATAGGAAGTGGGGTGCAGAAAAATGGCAGCAGGTGCTCCGGACTGACTGGACAAATTTTTAAATATTTGGCTGTAGCAAGTTTTGGGCTGCCTTCTGCAAATGAAGTTGGAGATTTGGTCAGAATCAGGAGAAATACAGCCACATAATTATTCATCATGCCACGTCATCAGGGAGGCGTGTGATTGGGTCCAAATTTATTCTGCAGCAGGACAACAACCCTACACATACAGCCAATGTCATTAAGAACTATCTTCAGTGTAACGAAGAACAAGGAGTCCTGGACGTGATGGTTTGGCCCTCAAAGAGCCCTGATCTCAACATCATAGAGTCTGTCTGGGATTACATGAAGAGACAGAAGAATATGAGGCATCCTACATCCATAGACGATCCATGGTTAGTTTTCCAAGATGTTTGGGACAGACTACCTGCCTAGTTTCTGCAAAAACTGTGTGCAAGTGTACCTAGAAGAAATAATTGAATTGATGCTGGTTTGAAAGTAAAATGTGATTACACCAAATATTGATTTGATTTGGATTTCTCTTATGTTCATTTACTTTCCATTTTGCTAATTTATAAAAATAAACTATGAACACTTTCATTTCTGAAAACATTCTTAATTTACAGCATTTTTTCACACCTAAGACTTTTGTACAGTAATATATATTACACACACACATATATACACATTTCAAAATATTGAATACAAATGGTCTATGTATTTAAGATAAATATGCATCAAGATACGCATTTATAGTGCAATCAGTCTACTAAAAGGCCACCTCTTAGGGCTAGTTTGCATGTGTGTTGATTATGAAGAACGAAGTAATGTTAAAAAAAAAAAAAAAAAAATCACTTCCAGAATGCTTGACAAATACCAATGTGCTCATGGTGTTGCTTTTTTAGCGTGCAGTGCTTAAAGGGGAAGTGATGTAGAGGAAATGATCTAATTTGAGGTGGTTTGGTTAGGTTATGGTGTGATAGCAGGCATTTTTGTGCAAGATGGATTTGTATACTTTTATCTCTCTGACACTTTGCTTGGTCCAGCTAAGCTTTGCCGACACAAAAAGCTTTACCACTTGCAATAATGATCAATGGCTCTGATCCTACCTGGCACGGTTAGTATTGTTGACTGGCTTGATGCTTTTGCCTGCACACAGAACTACAGTGCTTACTTAAAGTATTCATACCCTTGACATTTTATACGTTTTGTCATGTTACAACTGAAAACGTAAATGTATTTTATTGGGATTTTATGTGATAGACCAACACAAAGTGGTACATAATTGTGAAGTGGAAGGAATTATTTTACAAATAAATATCTGATAAGTGTGGCGTGCATTTGTATTCAGCCCCTCAGAGTCATTACTTTGTAGAACCACCTTTCACTGCAATTACAGCTGGAAGTCTTTTTGGGTATGTCTCTACCAGCTTTGCACATCTAGAGAGTGAAAGTTTTTGTCCATTCTTCATTCTGACAAAGTTTGAGCTTTATTGCAAAAGGATAGAGAACATCTGTAAACAGCAATTTTTTAAGTCTTGCCACATAATTCTCAACTGGATTTAGGTCTGAACTCTGACTGGGTCATTCTAACACATGAATATGCTTTGATCTAAACCATTCCATTGTAGCTCTGGCTGTATGTTTAGGGTCATTGTCCTGCTGTAAAGTGAACCTCCGCCCCAGTCTCAAGTCTTTTGCAGACTCTAACAGGTTTTCTTTTAAGATTGCCCTGTATTTGACTCCATCCATCTTCCCATCAATTCTGACCAGCTTCCCTGTCCCTGCTGAAGAAAAGCATCCCCACAACATGATGCTGTCACCACCATGTTTCACGGTGGGGATGGTTTGTTCAGGGTGATGTGCAGTGTTAGTCTTCCGCCATGCATAGAGTTTTGTTTTTAGCCAAAAAGTTCAAATTTTGGTCATATCTGACTAGAGCACCCACATGTTTGCTGTGCCCCCACATGGCTTCTTGCAAACTGCAAATGGGACTTCCTATGGCTTGCTTTCAATTTCTTCTTGCCACTCTTCCATAAAGGCCAGATTTGTGGAGTGCACGACTAATAGCTGTCCTGTGGACAGATTCTCCCACCTGAGCTGTGGATCTCTGCAGCTCCTCCAGAGTTACCATGGGCCTCTTGGCTGCTTCTCTGATTAATGCTCTCCTTAACTGGCCTGTCAGTTTAGGAGAAACGGCCATGTCTTGGTAGGTTTGCAGTTATACCATACTCTTTGCATTTTCGGATGATGGATTGGACAGTGCTCCGTGAGATATTCAAAGCATTTTTTTTATAACCTAAACCTGCATTAAATTTATCCACAGCTTTATCCCTGACCTGTCTGGTGTGTTCTTTGGCCTTCATTATGTGGTTTGTTCACTAATGTTCTCTAACAAACCACTGAGGGCTTCACAGAACAGTTGTATTTATACTGAGATTAAGTTACACACAAGTGGACTCTATTTACTATTTAGGTTACTGCTGAAGGCAATTGGTTACACTAGATTTTAGTTAGGGGTATCAGAGTAAAGGGGGCAGAATACAAATGCATGCCACACGTTTCAGATTTTTATTTGTAAAAAAAATTGAAAAACATTTATCTTTTTTCTTCCATTTCAGAATTTTGTACCACTTTGTGTTGGTCTATCAGATAAAATAGCAATAAAATACATTTACGTTTTTGGTTGTAACACGACAAAATGTGGAAAATTTCAAGGGGTGTGAATACTTTTTCAAGGCACTGTAAATTATGTTACCACACAGCTGCTCTGTAAAAAGTGACTGGAGCTGCACTGTCCTAGTTCTCCATTTTTTCCTAGTGCATTCTTGGATACAGGAAACCTCCACTGTCTCTCCCAATGGCCAGCTAACATGTCATTAATGCTTCACTAAACCCTGAAACATAAATGCTTCAGTAACATGTCATAAATTGCTCTAGGTTCTGTTAAGGTGTGGTTACAGAGCATTACCATTGAAAACAATACAGGTTGCTGACAAGCGTTGAATGCTTAATGAAAGCAACATGCTGCTTAATTTTTAACATGACACATCACAACGCTACCACTCCTGTGTGAACAGCACTGTGTGGTG